TTTAAAACTACATGACAACTGCAAAACACATGAGAGTCTTGGTAGACTGTGAGCTTGAGTTGGCGCCTCTGGCTGCCGCTGCACAGTCCGTCCCAAGATCTCAAACTAAAAAAGTACAACAATCAGATTACATCACAGTGACAATAAACAAGTCAAATGTTTTTGCATGATGGCCGGTGGCTCAAATGAGCTCATTCGCCCTTCGACAGGTTTTGTTTTTAGTCCTGCTGGGAGTCATGCCACCCTCCTCACCAGAGTAGACTGGTGGAGGTGCCGGTTTAGACGCCGACGACCCGTCCATGAGGCAGGTTGTACTGGGTTACAATGTKACCAGTAGCAGACTACATGTCTGACCTGAAAAAAAAAAAAAAAATATATACATAATAACGCAAGTAGTGTCATGGCTCGAATAGGAAGAATTGAATCAGGGTTTTTTAAGGGGGGGTTAACTGTTAACTGAGAAACGGCTAAAATAATAACTGTTAACTGTGAGAATTTCGGGTTTATTTAGCTGATAACTGATATTAACAAGATAACTGTTAGCTGATATTCCTTTGTTTGCATATGTTTTGCATGTAAATGAACCTTGTTTCCAGGGCTTCTCTGTTGTTGTTGTTGTTTTTTGTTTTTGTTTTTGTTTTTTTTTTCAAAAATGGCGGTCACGTGACACCGACTCTCATTGGATGTTTAGTTTGGAATAACGCTGAATGCAGGCGCCAAAAAAGATACGACCCTGAAGACAATTTCTTCGCTTTGCATGTGCTACCACACACTCTGGCTGGTACCACCGCTTCGTGCGAAAGGTGCGAACGATCAAAAATGCCTTTTTCGTTGTTAAGTCACTCAAAATTTCCATAAAATTAATGCATTATGTGTCTTCTCGATTCTCTCAAAATGCTGAAAATCGCATTTTCGAGGATTAAAACTCCAACATTTTCTGAGGGGAATGCTCCCGTACCCCCCGCTCATCAGCCTCCTACATAATCAACCGCTYCCGGCGCGGTCCCTGTCTGGCTATCACGTGTGATATCAACTTTGTCACGGCATAGATATAACTACTGATGCATTTTAAAATGTTGACTTGATCAAAGCCATCTAACATCGTTATGAAGGGTGAAAGTATTACTTGCTAGTATAGAAAAGGGGAGGAGGTACACTTAGAGAGTTATCGGAGTTCCGATATTGACTACAGTGTTCAAAACTCAGTATAAAGCTGAAGAACCATTTGAGGAATTTTCTTAGCCTGAAAGAACACTGTTTTAAGAGGGTCTCAATGGGGTGGTACGCATCACGACTCACGGCTAAAAATTTGGCGATTTCACGACTCACGACTAATTTTTTCGAATCACGGTTAACTAGATTAAGAAATTTGAATTACGTTTTTCATTACTTTTTCTTTTTTTCGTATGAATAGACTGCGTGACTTATTCGTGCGGACATGGATTTTCTCTTTCAAATAAGCCGAAATGCGACTATTTCCACGAAAAAACGATTAATCATAAATTCATAAACAAGAAAAATACAAAAAGTGTTAGCAGGTATTGAGTAGTGACATTGCTGCATTCCGTGTCTGACATCGGAGTTTACGAAATTTCGCTTTGCGCAAAGTGTCGCTTTGCGCGATGATGTATTCTATGCCGGCGTGCCAGCGTATTCATATTATTATTTGACTCTAAACAAAATTATTTTAAAATCGAGCAGATTTAATTTCTTGTCACACTTAGCGTGACGCAGGCACTAAATGAGTGGGAGTTTTAAAATGTACAAAACAAATCCCAAAAATACTATCTAAGAAAGAAAAAACCTTTTATAACTAATTATAGTATTTGAAAATCGATATCTTATCTAATTACAGAAAATTTCAGAATATATACAATGTCCGTACGAATAGAAAACATAACTCGGCCACTCTGTTTAAAAATTGATTTTCGGTTGCGCAATCGCCGCGCTGAAACCTATTATACGTTTAATGAAAAAAAGCCAATGAAAGCGCGCTTTAAAATATCACATTATAGAAATATATAGAAATAATTACCAAATGATTCTGGAGATATTGCAAACAATCATGTAGGAAGCTAATCAAAGACAACAACAAAAAGAAAAACAAAAGAAATATGAAAAAAGAAAAAACTTCGTTTTTGGTTGGATTCGAACCCATGACCATAAAATCGAAAAAAGGTTGGGACGATTCCCCCGAGACATTCTGTGAAGCTGAGGCGGCGAATCGATTTACATTCCGGTTAGAGATTTCAGCTCTTCCATGCTATCCCGATAATTGGTCCTAACTTCGCGCTAACTAAAAAGCCAGTGAGGGAGAAGCTATCCGGCCCCTAGACACTGATGGATAACCCCTTGCACTAACTAGGCAACTATCGAAAGTATAATGTCAAATTGGGGTAGTCTATTCGATCAAAGTGCCAAGTGGTCTATTRTTATGTAAATGACGTGGTCCAGTGGCGCACCGCGTTAAGGCRCTGCTTGCAAAWMCAATGTAGGTTTGACGGTAGCGGGATCGATTCCCTGGACGAGACGTTTACTGATTGTGTATTTTCATTTCTATTTTATATATTGTTTATCTTTTTTTTTATTTATTTTTTTGCAGAATTATTGTCATCTCTTGTGTTATTGGCACTTTCCTGAGAACTGACTTTTTCTACGAAGTGGCTATATGATCGGCTCCCACTCAAAGTCTTCGATGTACTAACATACTAAATGACTAGATAACTTTCAGAAATTTTTGAAATAAGTTTTTCATTACTTTTCATAACTTTTTTTGTGCTAGTTTTGTGCTAGAGATAGTGAGTGTGGTAGCACAGTTTCCCCTTGTACTTTATAGGCACTTAGTTATTATAACTTTTTATCATCACACTCACATGTCAAATTTTGTCCGTGCCCTGACTTGCCTGCAGGACCTTGCAACTTACTGCCTTGTTGGTAGGTGCGATCCAGTAGAATTTTGAGGGGGTGGGGGTGGAAGAGTGAAAGATTTAGGGAAAACAATTCCTGAACGGACGGAGGGTCCGAAAAAAAAATTCTTGCAAGGCAAAATTTTGAAAAATCTCCACTAAAGCTTTTATTTTTTTAAATTTACATCGGATTTGACTGTCCTTCTGAGACACTGAATCACGACTCACGATATAAAAAAATATTCACGCGTMACGGCTAATTTTTTCGCATTTTCACGACTCACGGCTAATTTTTCAGCCGTTTCACGGCTCACGGTTAACCCCATTGAGACTCTCTTTAAAAACGTACTTTTCTTAATAACTGAATATTTAGTTGTTAATCATTACACAAAAATAATAATTAACATGTGGCTTAACTGAGAACCGAGAAATTTAACTGATAACTGAGAAAATTGCCAAAAACCTTTTTTGCTTCGTTTGATGGCAACGCAGGAAAATTTAGAAGAAAAGAAAGACTTAATTTTCAGATATTCCCGAACGACCACGCCACCTAAAGATGGGATCGAATTACCTGACTTCACGGAACATGTGCACGAACCTCATCGGTATTCGGACCTACCTACTTCGGAAACGATGCTTTTCCGAATATTCCGCAGTTTAAATTAGTGCTTTTTAGATACTTCTTTTACAGAACAATTAAAAATGATTTTAACTCAAATTAAATGCATTATTATTATTGTATCCCGATTTTTTTCTCTTGAGCCGTGAGCCTAACACTTTGAGCCCAGAGCCCAACCAAGATTTCGGAATTGAGCCCGGCCATTTGAGCAATGAGCCATGAGACCATATACCATGTTACGAGTCTGTTATTAGCCTTTCTTTCGTACAAAAGAAATCTAAAAATTGAAGCAAAACAAAGTTCAATTTCAAAACTTGTACTTTGTCATTTTTAACTAATAAAAACCCCCGATGATATTAAAGCAATTTCTTTGAATTTGAACAATAAAAACATTGTCATTTAAACAGAAAAATACCTTTTGCTGTCTATAAATGTGGAAAAAAAAAGCCAGTATTTGAGCTGATTTCATGTTGAAGCTGTACTGAATAATCATCGAGCTGGTGAGGAAGGCGAGACTATTTTCGATGCAAAATCGTCTTAAAATGATAACTAGCAAGCTTGAAACTTCACAAATGCAATATCCTAGTTCAATTCTTCAATGAGAAAGCTTTTGATATTTCTTGTTGATAGTTTTTGAGTACTTTTTTCTCTGTTATCGGCGAAGTACCCGCCATTTTGGATTCTTGAGAAAATTTTCAGTTCGAGAGAGACTGCAAACTAATAGATATGAACAATAGATATGGCTTCCTGTGGTTCGAGAGAGACTGGAAACTGCGACCCGACAGAAAAAAGGTAAAACTATAGCTGGCTAGCACAGCTAGCCCGCTAATTATAAAGAAAGATAGATAATTACCATCATGCATTGCTGCGCAAAATGGCGTCGCTGCACATTGCATATTGGTTGCTGCTGGACCAAGAAAAAAAATTGCAAGCAATTAATGTTTATGCTTACTTTACTTTTCCCTTCCTTTTAATTCCCCCCAGAACATCCAAAGTTAACAAACTGCCACTTTTCATTGGAATTCACGAACAAATTGATTCAGTGGCTACAAATTTTTGTATGAAAGGAAAGCTGTTGTGTGCACAGTAGTTTTGCAAGAAACTGTAATCTAAGCTCTGAGTGAACTGAGGAGATAATATACCACTGAATGGAGTGCAATTAACATACTTCTGTTAACTACTGGATCCATGTTTGTTATAAAATTTTAGGTTCAAATTATTCAAACCTCATTGAACATTCATAATCCCTATTTATCTCCATTTATTTATTTATTGAGTGACTGATTGATTGATTCATTCATTCATTTAAGTCATACATTTGTTTATATGTTTATTTACTATTTATGTATATTGTATTAATGAATATTATTGTACGTCATTCCTATTGCAGTTTTTGTCGGCCAGCTAAAAATATAGCTCCTAACTTGCAGCTAACTCTATCCAACAATTGACTACACAGGTAGACCAACGATAAAGAATTTGCTATGTGACGTCCGTTGCTTTTAATAGTGACTACCTACACTAATCAAACTGCTCATATGCAGTCGGGACTGGAGTTTGGTAATTTATGATACCAAAATGACTTCCAGTGAAGATCTTTCTAAAGGAAATACCAGTAAGCCATCAAACACAGACGATGAGGATGTCGGTATCCCAAACTTGGGATTTCAGCCGTACCCAGAAGAACACAAATCTGATAATACATCTGGAAATAAACGAGCGGACGAACCTAGTGGATTAGGGAAATACAACTACAAACCGTTTCTTCCATGTGCACCCAGGTAATCGAAGATAGTTTATCGACCATAATCAAATTAACTAGAGTGAGTTCCGTGATGCAATTTGAGTTGAAATGTTCATTGCAACAAGCTGTTATTGACCGTGTCACTGGCTTGGTGTTTATTTAAAAGCGTTTGAACATATCCTAGAAGTAAATATGTTTACATACTGATTATGATCTTGTTTTAAAGATTAATAAACTACAACCATTTTATCTGAGTAAATTGAGATATTTCACTCATATTTCGAGTGCAAAAAACTTCACCATGAAACTAATGTTTTATCTCTATATATCATTAATTAAAATCTAAACAAAGACTTACATAATCACTGGTATGCTAGTAATTTGATCTAGGCTAGTTTTCTTCACTAAGCCATCTTATTTATGAATATGCTGAATTCGTTTCAGAGATGTTTTCTTGTCTTCTCCGGATGTATTTGATTGTTTATTTGCAGTCAATGACAATTTACTCAAAGATTGGAATAATATATATTTCATGCCTCAGCAAGTATGTCATTTAGCGAATTAACATATGTTGGCTCTTCGGATAAATCTAATCCCGTAGTCTAGTTTTTCACTAAAAAATAGCAAAATCAGGAAATCCAGGAATTTGATACAAAGTTAGTAGTATTCGATATCAATGTCTTTACATCACGAGATCATGTCAGCCGCAGGACGCAAGCTGATTCTTGATGGTCTTGTCAAACTATTAAAAGTTATGGTACAATGAGCAATATTAATTGATTGTATCTTAAATAGCATAGCAGCATAGCGGTAAATAAAAAACCCAAGAAAACGTTGTTCACGCTGTTGTTGCATGAAAAAACACACGGCTCTTGATCTATATTTAGGGCCGCTAGTCTTCGTCTACTTGAACTCGATGACCACCCATGCATGAATTAATCTGTACTAAAAGCACCAATTATGACCTCGGCCCTCTAAGGCATTTCATAGGATCTCTGGATCATTGGACACTGGACTCTTGGACCATGCAGGCAGTCTTTGGACCAAAAAATGGTTTTTTATTACACGCAAAAAAYTAAAAGACAAGCACATCTTCGCTAAAAATTACTATTTATAACTCTAATCTAACATAAATTGATACTTTTGGCTTCATAGTAACGTTTTGAAAATGCCCGTAACTTTATTGAATTGCTATTCTCGGTTTGCACATGACGTCATCAGTCGAAAAAAAATTTCTAAAATCACAGACACACAACATTGCAGCACTAAAATACCTTGAAAAGCATGATAGAAGTTCTCTCTGAAAGTTAAAACTTTTTTTTGCTGTTTATTCGTTGAGTTATTAACGTTCAAAAATATGTCACGCAATACTGTCATGCGACATAAACCTCGGAAAGCCTATTAACGTAAATGATCTAATAAACACCGGGGGCGTTTATTACATTTCAATGGTCAAAGGGGGAAGAGGGGGGGGGGGGCGTTTAATAGAGAGGAGGCGTTTATTTTGTCTCTTGTATCGAATGCCATTGCATTAAATAAATTGCATTAATAATGCTTTCATCACCTATAAACTGTTGGACAGTAGATTTTTAAAAGACGCAATTACAAGCGCGTATCGTGGTCTTTTTTGGCAAATACGCACATGACAGGGACAAGGACACATATTTCGGATTGGGGGGCTATATGGGGGGCGTATATGCGTAAAGGACTCTACGCGCCTGAATTAAATGTTTGTAAGAAAGTCAGTTAAATATACGATTTTCATTCGTCAGTTAACTACTATTTTTGGCCACAACGTCAGTGAACTACTAATTTTTCAGCCAAAAGTCAGTTAACCCCATTGACACGCTCTCTCAGAGATGATGGGGCTATTCCTCCTGGAACCATKATTTAATCACATTTTCAAGTTCGGGCTCAGTCTCTTTTTCGTTTTGTTATCTGCCCATACCACCCTTATTTTTGTGGATTGCGTTTTGCAAGATGGTACGCTTTTCTCTTTTTACCCGATCCATTCAATGTATTTCATTGGTTTTGCTGGTTAAGAAATAAAAATAAACAAATGATCCACACCTTTATTTTCTTGTAGAAATCCGGAAAAAGCCAGAATTGATGATTCAGGATTCTTTTCACTGATGTTTATGTCATGGGCATCACACACTGTTATGAAAGGTTTTAAAAAGCCTTTACAATCAGAGGATCTTGATAAGCTTTCTCCATATGAGACCATGGAATACAACGGACAAAGAATCAAACGACTGTGGGACTACGAGGTTGATAAAGTTGGATTAAAGAATGCATCGCTCGGGAAGGTAGTATGGAGAGCCGTTCGAACAAGGCTGATATTTGGTGTTATAATGTTTGGCATGTCACAATTGTTTACTTTCCTAGGACCGGTGAGTCATTGTTTCCTATGATTTTCATCTTTACTTTGATCCGTAAGTCTTACGTTCTTACTAAGGACGTTAACTGTCGTAAGAGTAAGTTCATCTACGGAGTTCCTTTGTGCATATCATGGGTGGGAAGTAAGTTATCGTCCCATAAGACGATGGGCAAGGGATGAGTCAATCTCGTACCCAGCGCCACTGTCCCTCTTACTCGCAGGCTCACAGGCTCGACAAAAAACAGTGACTCTGGAAATTTCGAAAATTTCTCGCTCTCTGATTGGCTCATAAAATAAACAGCTTGCCGCCGGAAGTGAAAATATCACGGAGAAAAACACTCAAATCATTCTGTATTTCGCTACCTCACCTTGAATTCTTCCTTTAAAAGCATTTATYAAGTYTATGAARTRGGMATWTSAKAGTAATATGATCAATTAAGTATAAAATGGAATACAACGAGGCGACGAACTGTCACGCCATGATAGAACTCTAATCACTAACCGTGACTGTCTGCTACTATCTGATCATAATAGATATCAAAATAGCTTCGAAGAAGATAGATTTATCATCTAAGGTCTAAAAAAATCCCTTTTCTGACTNGGTTTCTACTGCGCATGGGTGAAATAGCCAGTTTCTGACGTCCGGTGTTTGATATTTCCAGAGCTCTTGTTTTTCTTCGAGCATGCGCAGTAAGAGGGACAAGGGCGCTGGGTACGAGATTGGGGATGAGTGACGTTTATATTGTTTTGCGCATGTGCATTAAAGACGAGCATGATACATATTACACAGCTGCCGACTRGTACCCAGTCGGATATCGTTGATTACATAGTCAAGCTCGRGGCGCGCAATGCATCGGTGAGAGAATAGCGCGGACTGTTTTTTCCCACCATTCCATACGAGCGGATTGGAAGCAGTTGCATTACACTGAATGAAAATTGAAGGTGTGTTTCAAATGACTGAACATTGAAGCTCGCAACGAAAGGGTATATGGGAACTACTGTAAAGATGAAACTAGTCTGTAGTTTTAGGTAATCCGCATTTTGCTAAGAGCGCGCTTCGATGAATAACAGCGAGCGAATTCGTTCTTTTCTTTCTCTCCAGCAATAGTTGGGCGGTCTGTGGTTTATTTAAGAAAATTGCAAAGTAAAGCTTTGTATGGTTATTATACTATTCAAGCTTGTTTTCAATGTAAATGAAGAGAAATATCGTAATAACTTCTTTTTTTTGCAGGCTTTGTTTATTCGGTTTATTCTGGAATATTTAGAAAACAAAGATTCGTCGTCTGTTGAGTATGGGATTGCCCTGGTGCGTATACAGCTGTTTCAAAAAACGTTGTCGGGGAGAACGGCGAACGGCGATTGTCGAAGGGAGATTGCACGACCAAAAGGAACCGGCTATGGTGACACTTTTTTGATAAACTAAATTTCACTTATTGGATTCACCTTACATAGAAATGGAGACTAAATGAAACCAATGTTTACCAAAGACCATCTTACAGTACAAATCAGTTGTTATTGCCTTTCAACTAGCAAACCCATGACTACTTGCGGTCGTACAATCGCCGTTCGACCATTGACATTCGCCAACCTTTTTTGAAATAGCTATATCAATGATGAAAAAAAGTCTAAAAATGATTATGATGAGCTTTTACTGCACTTGTCGATTTGTAACGCCTAAAGTAAATAGTCCAAGTCAAAATTAAAGAATGACTTTTGTGTATTTTAGGTGCTTGGTCTGTTGCTGATGGAGTTAATTCGTACTTCGTTCTTGTCCTTGAGTTTTTTCCTTAACATACGAACAGGAACTCGAGCAAGAAGTATGATTTATGCATTACTTTACGAGAAGTTGACTCGATTGCGGAATGTTGGAGATAAGAGTATTGGAGAGGTACCCGATTGCTGTTGTTTTTCCCTATAGAATAGGCGAATAATTCAGTTGTTTACATTTCCGTTCATTAGCATAAGCATGCATATACCGTTTTAACCTAACTATCAGTAAATCAGCACTGAATATTGAAACAACATGGCACAACAAGCTTTCCTCTCAATTTTGAGCTTCCCATATGGAATTTTGCGTCAAACGGTTTTAAAAACTTTTTAGAGAGATTAAATGAGCTACTGATTAGCGCTTTTTGCCACTCAGCATCTTTGAACGCTAATATCTCATAACGTTTTGCATGTAAAAACCTCAAAAGCTCTTTTACGTTAAAACTTTTGTAAACAAAGATCCGCTTATAAGAGTACAAACACTCTAGACCGCGAGAAATACAAGTGCGAATGTACCAGTTCACAAGTTACAAACCCAGATGCAATTTCAAATTCAAGAAAATGAAAATACTTTCATGTTTTGCGTTTGCATTTTGGGTGCTTGCGTTGCTCGCGTGAACCAGGCTTGTGTGTGATATGTGTTTCACAGGTTTTTTTGTCTTCACTCCTATTTACCCGGCGTTCTTTTTGTTCCAGTTTGTCAACATTTGTGCGTCTGATGCTCAAAGAGTTTACGAGGGTGTATCCTTTAGCAACTTTCTTGTTGGTAAGTTTCAGATGTCGAACCCGGAGCAAAAACATCCAGCTTTTGCTCACCGTTCCATTTTTGTTTTGAGGGAAATCGAGTATATCGAGAATATATTGTCCAGTTGTTTGCACTCTTCTCAAGTAAATATGATTGTGCTATGCAGACTATGCAACACGCATGCTTATAACGTTGTTGAGCGTAAAAGCTTTTGCGGGAAGCGCAATCTGGCAGTCTTAAATAACAAAGCTTTAAGGTTGGCATTGGTTCCTTACCCGGAACCATTTCCATTCTTCTCTGCATTATTGCTTGCATGGATTGTTTGGAACGCCAGACAACWTACTCGCAACCTGCAGGTCGCTTGTTGGCCCAACAGTCAGTTGCGTACTATCGCGACTGTCTTTAAGTAGCCTGTGGTGCACACTGGGGTGTTGTTGGTGACTACAATGTTCTATACTCTCCTTGCTTGGTTTGCATCGAAGACAGGCTAAACAGAAGCACGTTGAAGTTTTTATACTGGGCACAACTCCCCAGAGCGATGGTAGCACTAGCCGAGGCGTCTAAATGTATACATTCTGAGTTTAACCAGACGAGATATTCAGATTCTTGAACATCCAAACAATGAGAATTTAGTTGATGATATAATGTCCCCCATCGTCTCAATTGCGTTTTTCATTTAACAATCCTGATGGAACAAGAACAATGGTAAAAGTAGTTAATGGGACGATGAAATGGAAACCCTGACTAACTGACGGATAACCTGTTTCTTCCTTGTAGGCTATCATACCAATGTATTGTTTTTTCCGTGTTAGGTGGTCCTATTGTTATCTTAATGGCTGTTATTTATACGACGTATTTAATTGGGCCTGCAGCGCTGGTCGGCTGTGGTTTGTTTTTATTGGTTTATCCCGTTCAAGTAACCGTCGCAAGGCTTGCTGGAAAACTACGTGGAAAGGTCGTCAGGATAACAGATAAAAGGGTAATGTGCTAAATCTTTCGTAGCATTTTCGTAGTGATTTAGTTTTTATGATAAATGATCAAAACACGTTTAACGTCAGGAAAACGGATTAGTGCGGACGTCAAGTAAGGTCAAGTTAATTTTGTTTCCAATATGCATGTGATCGCTCGTGCTGCTGTCGTGTTACTTTCGTGCTGTGATCGTGATATACATTGATGCGATCGCGTTACCGTGATTGCATCATGTTCGTGATGTGATCGTGTCATGTCCGTGCTCTGATTGAGTTGTGCTTGTTATTTGATCGATTTATGTTCGTGCATTCGTGCTGTGTTCGTATAGTGCTCGGTTTACTGCTGGTGCTGTAACCCTGTCACTGTGCTCGTGTCGTAATCACTCTATGCGGTATTCGCTTTGTTAGCGAGTATGTCTTTGGAATGCAGTGTTGCTCTTAAGTGTATAGCAAACGGGYCAATGACGGTCTTGATCTAGGAATTTTCATAGTCAATCTAAATCAAATCTATTTTTAGCCAGCAGCTTTATTTAGTTTGTGATTCCGTTACTATTAACTTTTTTACCAGGTTCGATTGATGAGCGAGATGTTGAATTGTATCAAGCTTATCAAAATGTACGCGTGGGAGAATTCATTTGAAAAATCAATAGTTGGTAAGATGCGAGAGTCTTTCTTCGTATAGAAATAAAGGAAAGTTATAGTGCTTAGAAGAAGGCTATTCTGGGAGAAAGACGCTTGGAAATAATTTTGGCGGAAAATTTAATTTCCGACCTCGCTGGGAATCAAACCCACGACCCTCAGATTTTTACTACCGATGCTCTGCCAGTTTCTCGATGCTACTACCCTGACCTTGTAGCTCAGCTGGTAGAGCATCGGTAGTACACATCCAAGGGTCGTGGGTTTGATTCCCAGCGAGGTCGGAAATTAATTTTTCCGAATTTATTTACAAGGGTCTTTCTCCCGGAATAACTTCCTTCTAAGCAGTAGAGTACAAACATTAATTAATGTGCGCAACATTTTCCACTATTTTCTTCAAAATAGTGTTAATTAAACAATAGAAAACAATAGTATTTTAATAGTGGTATTTATGTTGCACAGTTTTAGTGTTTGCACTCTATTCCTTTCCTTTATTTCTATATCATGTTTATCATAGTGCCATGCGATCCTCATATTCATATTTTTCTTCATATTTCGAGAATTGAAATCGAAAGAAATTACAGTTTGATTTGCTTTGTTTTTCTGTAGAGAAGAGAGTGTCCGAGCGTAAAGCGCTGACGAAGTCAAGTCTTCTTCAAGGCATAAACATGTCTATTGCTCTAATTATACCAACCATTGCAACTGTATCAACCTTTAGTGTTCATGTAGCAACCGGTCAAGACCTTACTTCAGCACAGGTGGGTCGGGATTGAAAATATACTCACATTCATCTSACTGATCTAAACTGGCAATCAAGACCCAATAACTCATTTTCGATATACTGATTGAATGAACATTCACGGAACAACTGAAGATGAACAATTACGGATTGAAAAATGACCCTAAAAGGTACGCATAAATTAATTCAAGTATCGATTCCAMACCKTAWAAGGTACGASCATTTTTGACGTCTTTATCAAGAGAAAAGCTCAAGTTTAACAAACTGTAGAAAATRAAAGTCGATAGATTGTTGAGGTTAATAAAATCTATTTCTTTATAACACTTCTTCATTTTTTCCCGTTGTTGGAAAATTAACCTTAAAAGGTACGGTGT